CAGGCGAGGGGTGGGGCACGCGGTCGCCGCGCGCTGTGCCCCGGTTGGCCGGGGAGGGCGCACGCGCCCGGGAGAGTCCCCTGGCTCCGCCTCCGAGAGGGGCGGGTACCCGCCGCCGCCGCTCGCTATTGGCGGTGCCGGCGGCTGCGCGCGGGGTGGGCGGGGCGGCGGGCGCGGCCAGGCCATGTGTGCCGGGCGCCGCCGCAGAGCGGCCGCAGCCGCCACCGGCAGCGCCGCGCCCGTCCCGGGGAGCGGCGCAGAGCCCGGGAAATGTTCTCCTCTTGGGGCTTCCCTTGTGGCCGCCTCCGCCTCGCCGGCCGGGCGGTAGCGCGCCGCTCCGCGCTGCTCTGCCAGTGGGCGGCGGCTTCCCCCGCCCCGCCGTGGCTGCCTCTGCTCGGCGGCTCCCACCGGCGCCTACTCGCGCTCGGAGGGCTGAGCTCCTTCGCGGCGGCGGCCGGGCGGGGGGCGGCGGGGGCCGCGCCGTGCGGATCGGGTGCGGCGGGGGGTGGGTTCCGGCCGTCGCGGGTGGCGGTGGTGGTGAAGACGACCCGGTACGAATTTGAGCAGCAGCGGTACCGCTACGCCGGGCTCTCCGAGGAGGACCTGAAGCAGCTGGTGAGCGGCGGGAGGGGCCGTCGGTCCCGGCCGCCGAGGGCGTTGCCGCTGGGGCTTCAGCAGGGGTGGGGGGATACCCAGGGTGATGCCCAGCTCTGGCGAGGGATGACCGGGGTGATGCCCTGTTCCGGGGGCGCCGCCGGGCCGCTGTGTCCGAGTGTCCCTGGGGCTTCCCCGGGCCCTGGTGGGGCGGAGCCGGCGGCCGTGGAGGTGAGCGGGGTCGCGGCCGCTCTCCCCGCGCTCTGACCCTGCTGCCGACGGCTCTGCCCTCCCGCCGTTTCCCTCCCCGGGTCTCCGATCCCAATGGAGCCGCCGAGTGGCACCGCCTGGGAGAGGGGCACGAGCCGCGCCGCTGGACATTCATCGCTTGCAGGCTGCTGAGAGATTTGTGTAGTAAGCGTGTGTAGGAACCCTCGGAGGAATTCCAGCAGCCCTCAGCAAACTGCAGTCTTTTTTTTTTGCTGTAACATAATTCGTGTAATAAAAAGATCAGAGAAGTGCATGCTGAGGAAAGTACAGTGTTGTAGAAAATCCCCTCTATGTCTTGGAGAGGACTGATTTGTATTTCCTCTATTTTCTTGCTTCACATCCTCACTCCATCCTTACTTATTTTCCTCCATCCGGACAGCCAAGTCTCAGATCCACTGTTACAGTTTTTAGAAAAGCTTTTTGCTCTAGTCTCTAAGAAACCTTTAATGTAAAGGTCCATTTCTGAGCTTATACTAAAAGAAAACAAGTATCTCTCAGAGCTGGTATATGCACCCAGCGTCTTCATCTCCATCATGCTTAGTGACTTCATCCAGTTCTCCCTTTACCTTGTGGCTGTCTCCTTCCAGTGTTCATCTGCCACAGCTGGACTGAAAGATTGTAACTCCTGGAGGAGTTATTTTGGCTGTCAGCAGTCTGTGAAGTCCATGTCATGAGCTTATATTGTTATGCCTTGATTTCGAATAAGTCCATTACATTAATTTGTCCACACATTAGTTTGTGTCTGTCAAGTCTTTCATCTCTTACAACTGGAAGTATTTTAGATCTCTGTTAGTTTGCAGCGTTTGGACTAAACTTGTACGTACATGTGCTTATGTAGCAAGGATAAATAGCTGCTTAGCCTTGTTTTGTAAAGAATTGGGATAAAATGTACAGTATCTAAAACAATGTCTATGTGCTTCAGTTGGTCATCTACCTCCTATGGAATTCCTGTCCAAACATTTTTTATACGTTTTGTATAGCTCTGTGGTCACAGTTCAACAAGTTTAATGTCAGTCTGTGTTGATTCTGATGTAGGTTCCTGTTGCTGAGGCGTCCCAGTACTTCCTTTCATACAGTGGTTAGTAAAAAAAAAAAAATCTCTCACTGCTCAGCTGTGAGGCTTTTTATTTTCATTTAGCTTTTTGTGAGAAACTATTTCTTGTTGTTGAGTGTAGAGATTGTCCTCAGTGTGCAGCTAAGCCCAGGAAAAGCAGACTGGGTTTGCTTGGTTACTTTTCCCTAATTGCTTCTGTACAGGCAGGACTGGGACACTGAATCAGGGAGCAGCATTGCACATCCCTTAAGGTGCTCATGGCTTAATGTAGTGGTAGCTGCAGTTCGTTTTTTCATGATAATGTGTATTTTGCATGATTAGTAACCTGTATCATTCTGAATATGCATTTTTTAAAAAGTAACTGTGAATTCAGTAGGTGATTGTAATAGTTGCAGAAACACCTTAGAGTTTGTCCTTTTGGAGAAACTTACAGGTACACAATAGTTCTTGGTATTTTGACGATTTTAGAATTTCTGTTCTAGGACTGCTGCTTTTTTAAGATTTACCTTTCCCCTTAAAATACTGCCATATGTGGAATTGCAATAAAACATGGTGTCTCCAGGTAGACAAAGCCCAACTTGCCTAACTATGTGTGTAGCAATATTGAGTTAAGCTCTTGCTATATGGGCAGGAGTACAAAGATTTGTGCAAGAACACATTGAAAAGGTTTTACAGAATTTTGTAATTGAAACAGAAAATAATAGAGCAAAGGAATTATCCTTGCTTCCCAATTCTTAAATTTTTTAGCTAACTTGTAAAAATTTCTGCATTGGCATTCTGCTGTGACTGGTCTCAGATCTTTTTTCCTCAGACTGAGTTAATGGCAGCCTCACTGAATATGTCAGGTGAAGATTCAGAAGGCTCTTAGCATATCTGTTGAGGACGGAGATCACTTTGTAGCAGAGTTATTGCTGTGAAGTGTCCTTCCCCCGCACTGCCACTGTGGGCAGCTTGGGAACACTATGCATTTAGTTTCCTGGTGTTAGCTGCAGTCCATGCTCCCTGTGTCTCTGTTTCTCCGGGGGAGACTTGGGAAGCTGCTCCAAGATCTCAGAAATGGGCTCAGACACGCTGTCTTTGGGTTTGCAGCTCATTTGTGTTGAAGGGCCACACAGAAGCAGGCATTGAGTTCATGTGAAAGCCTCATGCTGGGATACAGGCAGAGTGAAAGCAAGAGAACATAGGAAAGATTTGGTGGCTTTGGTGTTCGGAGCTGCTGGCTGACCCAGGTGTGAGGGTGGTGAGGGCTGCTTTGCAGGGTTGGGTGATCCTGGAGGGCACTTGTGGTGTGAGGGAGTCAGCACCAAAGGTGCTGTCGTCCTTTGTCATGGACCTTCAGATGTCCAGACACTGGGTGTCTGAAATACAGAAATTCAGTTTGAAGAAAATGTTGGAGGCTTAGATTTGAGCAACCATACCTGGGCTTGTTGCCTGCCTATTGTGAGGAAAAGAGATGTTTGCAAGTTTCTAGAAGATAACTGATGTCTGTATTTGGAAGCTTTAGCTATTTGTATAGCAGAATTGATAAAAATTGTGGGCTTAATCAGTTCTGCCTGATCAACAAGACAGGATAGCAGCCTTAAATGTAGCTTTTTCAATCAATGTGTTTATGTATTAAGACTGAATATGCAGTAAGTAACTTAATGCAGAAATGGTGGCTGGTGCCTTTGGGCATACATCCTACTGAGATTTGTTCCATGTTTAAGGAGGCTGAAGATAAATCATTGGCATACATCAACAAGTACTAAAACATGATACAGATCATAGTATATATCATTATCTATGATACAGTCAGTATAAATCACAGTATCATCCAGGAAGCAGAATACCAGTAATGCAGGTGACTGGCTGACGTTGCTCGTAAGCCATAAAGGGCATCTGTAGCTTAAACCCTTCTGTGGTCTTTTGGACACCAAGTGAGTTGTATTACACAAACACTATGATATGTTGCAAAGTCAAAGCTGCAAGGTCACAATTCCAAAATTCTTTCTCTGTGTAAACAGAGCGGGGAGGGGTAAAGAAACAGTCCAGACAGCAGAAGAGCAGAACTAATGGGGGAGAGATGGAGAACAAGGGCTACTTTCACAGACCTACTAAACATTCAGGAGTGTTTAGTAGATCTGTGAAAAATGAAATCTTCCATTTCCTCTCTACATGGAGGTTGTGCATGCCTGATCCAGGCAGTTGTTTTTGCCTATCTTGTGGCAGATTATCTTACATGCTTAAAAATTAAGTTGTTAAAATCTGTTTGTAATTCTATATATAAACTCATCTGACTATCATAATTTGTAGTATGAATCTGATCTAGTCTGAAAAGTGTAATTAAGTGCTGTGTATGCTGTTGTACAGGGAAGGGTTTCAGAGTCTTCCATTAAGAAGGGAGATTAGAGACCTATAAAAATGGATTTATAATACCACAAAACAAAAATGTTCCAAAATGACCCAGCACTTTTAAAAAAGTGTTATATCAGTAAATTTGTGCATCATATCATGCAAGAAATATTTTTCTTAGCCTTTATGAAATGTAAAGGGGCTGTTGGATTTCTAAAACTTGCAGTTACCAACTTTAAGTCATACTAATCTTTCTCCCAAGTCCTTGCAAACAGTTTGCTTACCAGAAGTGACATCAATTTGCATTTCTTGTAACCTGGTTTACTGGGATTAGCATCTAAAAATGACTAGTTAAAAAAGATGAATGATACAGTTAACTAATACTGAAGGCTATTTCAGGTGCTGTTTGTTTCACTCTCAGTAAATCCATGCGGAAGAAGCACTGCTGTTGTCCTTAATGTAAATTTAGAGAATATAATACCCCAGTAATAGATAAAGCTTTTTCCTGACTTCTGGTTTTTGATTTGTTTGATAGTGCAGAGCTGATAAGCTGCTGACTTCTCACAGCTGTAAGGTATTTAGGGAAGATAACCTGCCCAAACACATTTCATACACAGTTCTAATAATGTCTGAAAATGTCTTTTCATATGGAAAGTTATGTTTGTCTTGGTCTTAATTGGAAGGAAATTGTTCAGTGTGGACTAGAGATGATACTCTGTTGTGGTTGGTTTATGTGTCTTTATTTGGAGTAGGGAGGAAAAGCAAGCTGGAGGTTTGGAACAAGTTCCAGTTCTTTTGGACCACTGCAAGTAATTGCTAGGGGTGGTAATCTGAGTGATGTGAAGTTCATACAGCTTTATAGAAAACTGGTGTCTGGTTAAGGAAGAGGTAACTTGTTGGGATACTGCCTCCCCTGAAGGAGGCCAATGTGAACTCACACAAGTGGTTCATAAGGCAGCAGCAACATCCTGAGCAGGGCCGGTCAGGAAGGAGGGAAGGAGTGTTGCCCAGCAGGTAGGTGAACTTCAGCAGGCATTATGTTGTGCACCAAAACAACCCCACATAACTGTGGATGGGGTGTTTGGGGGGGTGTGTGTGTGTAGCAGAGCACTATCCTCCCGCCCTCCAGTTCCTAATTTAGATGTGTACAGCACCAGTTGTCAGCCTGTGCAGTAAAGTTTTCATGTCTCTTAGAAAATTCCCTCTTGTGGGAAATATACTGTTTTATCTTTAACTTGATAGGTAATCGATTTTTGTTTTTAATTACTGAAAAATTCTTTGCTATTTTTTACGTTAAGTGGTGAAAGATACCCTTTCAGTATCACTTTTGAATTACTTTTCCTGGGTACTAGTTTACAGGCTTGTA